ACCAGGCAGTAAAGTCAGGCACCCCACCCCCTTTTTGAGGATCTGCAGCCAAGAATTCAACCAACCGCAATTCAAATATATTATTTAAAAAATTCTCTGAATCTCCAAAAAGTAAAACTTGACCCATGTTGAATCCACACTGACGGTGATGAGCGGTCATATCCTGCTCGAGCGTCCTCCACTTCACATCTTACTTCTCTCTACCGCTCACAGTTCACACGCTGCTTGCCTCAAATCCTCCTTATGTGCTATCGTGGTTAGGCCTCTGAAAGCTGCCTCTGGACTACACATGTACAGGGTTTTTTCTTGTTATCATTCCCTAAACAATATAGTATAATAACTTCTTTCTTATAGTACTAGGTATCGAATCCAAGCCCTTGTCTATGCAAGGCAAGCACTCCACCATTCTACACCTCATCCCATTAACACAATGATTTACATAGCAATTATGTAGTATCAGTCCTTGAGTCATCTAGAAGTGGTCTGAAGTGCTTAAGAGGATGTATGTGATGATTGTTCTCAAGTGATGAGATCTAGAATCACCAGGAAGATGGCGGACCTATGAGATCTAGAATCACCTAAAGACTGGGGCCTTTGAGCATGCCTGGGGGGATTATCCTTATTAAGCTAACTGAGGTGGGAAGACACGCCTATTGCATGGAGCACCATTCTATGTGCTGGGGTCCTGGACTGCATAAAAAGGAGAAAGTGAGCTGACAGAGGCATCTCTGGCTGTTTCTTGACTGAATGTAATGACTGCAATGTGACCAGCTGCCTGAAGCTCCTGGTACTATGAATACTGGCTCAAAGAATATGGAGAAGGTGAACAAGGAATGAACAGGGCCCTCACCAAGTGGACACTGGGCACTGCGAGGTAGCAGCTCTTGGGACAGGATGCTGGGGGAAGGTCCACTCTTGTTAATGAGGAACTACATGTTCCATGCACTACTTCTACTTGTTAATTCAGGGCCTGTCTCCTGCATTTAGTAGCACTCCATTAGTGGAATAGCACTGTTGAGACCCCTGTTGCTTTATTTGCCCCTAATGAAAAATCTCACACTGTTTATTTCCAAATAAACATAAGTTTGGAAGTGACAAAAGGAAAACTCCTAAAACTCAACAAAAATAGGGCATCACCAGGCAGACAGCCCCTTTCTCAGTGGACAACGGTGAGGTACACCCAGTTCAGTCTCTCCCTGTTTCTTCCTGACTGATGGTGATGCTGTCCCTTGTCCCCAGCACATCTATGTGGCAGCTCCTGTGTCTTAATCTCAGGGGCGTGTTCTAACGTGTACCTTCTGTCCCTGCTGTGAGGGGAGCAAGATACTGAGGGTGCATCACCTGCTACGCTGAAGGGAACACCAAACCTCGGAGTCTAAGCCTTAGATAGTTCTGTAACACTCTTTGCTGCCTTTAGAAAGAATAAAAGATGGCTAACCTAAACATCCATCAGCAGGGTCAACAAAGAAAGGCAAGGCCATGAAAGGAAAGGGGATGCTGACTTACATTCTAATGTGAGGGTTTACTATTGTTGGTG